AGAGAGAAGAGGTGCTGAAACAATGAAGTCTATAGAGTGTGTATTCCGATGAAGAGACATTGTATTTTTTGTACTTTCGATTGAATATTTTTTAATTCAAAATGTTTTGTTTATGCATATGATTTTTTATTATATTTTTTGTAACACTTCAATTTTAGGGAACTTTTCTTCATGCACATATTCCTAAAGATTATGTTCAAAAGCATTCGAAAAGATTTAAAGAAGGTCAATTTTTTTGTATAAAGAATTTGTAATTGCTAATTTTTTTGAAGTTATATTTTAACACAGTTGTGAGAGAATTCAAGGATGCAGTTTTTCCTAGTCATATTTGTGACAAAGAAGATATGATTTCTTTGATGAGGTGCAATATTGTTTACATTTGTGATTACTTATTTGTCACTAACTTTTTTTTTTTTTGTGAAACTTTATTTAGTTATTTGACTTTTCTTGCCCTTTAGGACTTTTTGGATGGAGTGGTGGTTGAGAGTCCTATTGGAACTTTGGAGCGAAACAAGCAATGTGATGCAAAGGATGGTGGATTGTTAAGAGTTGTGAATGTTGAGAAACTGGATTGAAATTATTAATAAAATGTTTTCTTGTTGAGGCCTAGCCATTTACGCCTTTGGGCATTATACATTTTTCCTATGATTGATGGTTGACATTTTACAGGCATTTGTCTCTGGTCACTTGAATATTTTTGCTATATTTTATATTTATAATTTTAAATTTGTGTATTTTTTTTAAATTGTAAGATTGCATGGTTTTACATTACCTTGAATATGCATTTGTTTTATTTGTTTATTCACACCATGTTCAGATGTGAAATTGTAGTTTAAAAAAGAATATTACAAAAAAAATAATTATTAATTGAGAATAAAAGCGACACAGAATTTATGCCAATTGAAATAGGAAATGAATATTAATAATTGACTGAAAATTAATAATGATTCTAAACTAACTCAAATGCAAAAAAAAAAAAAAAAAAAAGGTCAGACCGCCCAAACAATATTATATGTAAATTGGTATAGTATTTTGTTATTAATAATTTACTAAAAATATTAAAAAAAATAATCTATTATTAATAATTAACTAATTAACTCATTGATATGTATTTAAAAAGAATAATAGACTGAGAATAAAAATTGCATGGAAATTACGTCAATTGAAAGATGAAGTGAATATTAATAATTGACTGAAAATTAAAAATGATCCCAAATTAAACGAAATGAAAAAGGAAATGGCCAGATCGCCAAAATAATAGTATGTGCAAATTAGAAAAGGAATTTATTATTAATATTTGACTAAAAATATTAAAAACAAAATCTGTTAATAATAATTAAATAATTGATATGTATTAAAAAATAATTGATTGAGAATAAAAATGACATGGAAATTATGCCAATTCAAAAAGAAAATGAATATTAATAATTGTCTGAAAATTAAAAATTCATATTAACTATTTCGAAAATGAAATGAATAAACTATAGTATAGGTAAATTGGAAAAAGTATTTGTTATTAATAATTGACTGAAAATATTAAAAATAAATCTGTTATTAATAATTAACTAATTAATATGTATTAAAAAAATAATTTACGGAGAATAAAAATGACACAAAAATTAGGCCAATTAGAAAAAAAAATGAATATAAATACTTGATTAAAAATTAAAAATGATCACAAATTGATTCAAATAAAAAAGGAAATGACCAGACCGCCCAAACAATAGTTTAGATAAATTGGAAAATGAATTTGTTAATAATAATTGACTGGAAATATTAAAAAAAAATCTATTATTAATAATTAATTTATTGATATGTAGTAACAAAATAATAATTGACTGAGATAAAAAGAATGGCACAGAAATTATGCAATTGAAAAAGGAAATGAATATTAATAATTGGCTGGAAATTAAAAATGATCCCGATTAACTATTTCGAAACGGAAAAGGATTGACAATAGTACGAAATGGGTTCTTTACAAGAAAGAATTACTTCCACCAAAGAAGGTTCCATAACCTCGATTCAAGCAGTTTATGTACCTGCAGATGATTTGACCGATCCTGCTCCTGCTACGACATTTGCACATTTAGATGCGACTACCGTACTATCAAGAGGTTTAGCTGCCAAAGGTATCTATCCAGCAGTAGATCCTTTAGATTCAACGTCAACGATGCTTCAACCTCGGATCGTTGGTGAGATAAATTAGAAAAAAATTATTATTAATAATTGACTGGAAATATTAAAAAAAAAAAATTGGTTGTTAATAATTAACTAATTGATATTTATTAAAAAAAATAATTGATTATGGTTAAAAATGGCACATAAATTATGGTAAAAGGAAATGAATATTACTATTTGACTCAAAATTCTAAATGCTCCATGATTAACTATTTAAAAAGAAAAACGGATTAACTATAGTATAATATATGTATTATATGGGATATATATATATGGATCCGGGCTCATTGATTTCTCATAGAAAATAGTAATGCAATGGGCAATGGTCAATTGTATGTCGCTTTTTCCGGAGTCACCTATTCTGATGGCCTGAAGATGTTAGCTCTAGACGATGATGAACAAGATTCTTTTGCTACTACGAATATCGTCTAAAAAGAGGTTTTCAATAATGTGCAATTCCAACTAGTGATATTATGTTTTCTTTTTATGCGAAGATAACAAAATTGGTATATATATCTACACATAAAATATATCTTCCATACAAATAAATTAGGATAGCAAATGATTATATAACCGAGTTGCTAGACAACGAGCAAATTTGCCACTTAATACAAAATTACAAATCATAAACACTGCTGATATATAAAATCTCTAAAGTTATTAATTGAGCAATTATTTGCTCGAATTCAAGCAATAATAACATTAGAAAATATAGTCGATACAAATCAATTCTTCAATTGCATTATATAATATTCGACGTTATAATTTATATAATTGTATATCGATCTAAATATTCTTAAAATATTATAACAACTCCATTCTGATACATCGCACGGGTGAAAATACTAGTTAAGACTAGTAATGAAATTTTGCTTCACAGTTTTCTTTTCCATTTTTAAATCAAAATCACACTTCAACTATGTAACTTAATTAGTTTTTCAAAGAAAAAAAAAATGTAACGTAATTAGTAGCTACAAATGCATAAACGTAGGCTATAGTAACATCCATTATACTATTTTTTTTTTTTTTTTTTTTAAAATTCATCGATAATTTTTTTGGTGTACCCAGTGTTTACATCCTCGGACACAATGACTAATCTCTTGCTGAATTGTAAGCACCTCTTTTAAGTGGAACTGTTGGCTAATCAATTTGTTGTGCATTCGTGCTCATTATGTTGCATTCATAGTGTGATTGGTGTGCATCCATCTCATTTTGTTGTGCAATCCTTTTATGTTTTATCATTGCCTTTAGATCACTCCAAATGGATGATCTGGATTAGTCCTCACGTCCTCACCTAAGTATAGGTCTTCACCTGATCTATATGTGTGTGTGTGTGTGTGTGTGTTTTGAAAGCCAAAATATGTAGATTGCATTAAATCAAGGAAATGTCAATAAACGGTGGAGGAACATCCCTCCAGACTGAGCGTGCAAAAATCGCATTACATCTTTAGCCAGAGCATGAGCTACCCGATTGGCATCTCTGCGAATAAAACTAACTTGACAGTCTGACATAGAATTAATCAAATGCAAACATGAAAGCAAAACAAGACCAACATACAAACGAAACGATACCCTCCACCTCCAAAATTCCATTCTAAATTCTGACTCAATTATAAACATTGCTGCTAATCCTACTATAAGTGTTCTTATTGTTTAAATGAAGTGTTGTGCTTAATTATGTGAGTTGATCGTTAACTATTTATGATATTATATAGGATGACAATCAATAATACCATTGAATTTATTCATAAACAAGTTAACAAGCATGTTGAAATCGTGACTTGTATTTTATTTTATGTTTTAATGTAATTATGTTTGCATTGTGGTTATATACTTATTTAGTTATATATTAGTTTTTTATTAAGTATATTTCTTAAATTATTTAGAAATACTTATTAAAGTTTTTAAAAAGACTTAACATGTAAGAGCGTTATGCTCGCAAGGTGGGCACAGTTGTACATTCATAATTTTTATACTGTAGATTCATAATTTCTAAATTGTAGATTCATAATTTAAATATAATAGATTTATAATTTCTATGTAGTAGATTCATAATTTTTATACTGCAAATTCATAATATCTGTACCGTAGATTCATAATTTATGTACTGTAGATTCATAATTTCTAAACTTTATAGTTATCAAATTTTGAACATATAGTTCTGTGTTCTATTTGTGAATACAAAGTTCAACAATTGGATATATGAACATCAAAAATTATGAACATATGTCTCTATAATTATGAACATATATTTATAAAATTATGAACATATAGCTCCATCACATGTTCACAAACCTAGTACTGTAGATTCATAATTTCTAAATTTTGCGATTGCGAAAAAAGAAACGCCGTTAACGCAAGTGAAAAATAAAAATTTTCTTTTTTTAATTAGAACGGTGTTGTTGAACTGTGCCCACCTTGCAAGGTGGGCACGTGTCCACAGCATAATTACTTTGAAGTATTTTTAATGGCATATATATTAAACAGACTTTTGAAATTAAACACGCTTTTGAAAATGTTACAAGCCAGGCTAGGCCAATTGTAGGCGCCTAACAAAGGGCAAATTATTGTGTGACACACTGTGTAATGTGGACCATGGTCCACATAGTGTTATGTGGACCATAACAAAAAGTACATTTTTAGTATACTAAATGTACATTATAATGTTATGTGGACAGTTTCAGCCAGGTTGCAATTGGTTATTGGCTTAGATAAAGCCGTATTATAATTTATAAATAGCCCTTGTCCTTGTAGTGTTGGTCAATTTTGTGTTGAACGGTTTTGGTTTTAGAGTGTTGTGAGGAATTGAGGCAAACCAAGTATTACAGGAAGCAAAAGTTGTCTTTAGATAATGAATTATAATCAAATCCATATTCTTGAGGTTTGACAATTGACAGCCAGTCGATAAATGAACTTCATGCGGCTACATACTCACAAGTATACTGAATCTTTTATACTAACGCACATATGTTACAGCAGAGGGTCCTTCTAGCTACCTGCATTCTTTCAACAAGTAGGATGATGGGCTTGAAATTGAACTGCTGCTACCACCAGGGAATTTCCCGCTTTCTGCTTTTTTACCTGGCGTCCCGCATTCACTGAAATCTAGCATGCGCCGCTCAGTCTGCAACAACCGATATCCAGAACATTAATGTAAAGAATGCAATGCAAGAAGCTGTTGTAATCACATATGTGTTTGCAAATGAGTGTGTCATTGTTACAGCCTCAATGTTTTGAGTTTCTATGGAATTTATCCAGTTTTGTTATTCTTTTTGGGTGACGGGGAAACCCGCAACCAATACCCGAGGGTATGCACTAGGTAAACCCCGCCTTGTGACCCTAGCCGGCAACAAAAGACCACAAGGAGGTAAATCAGACTAGGTTGCCCATAACTGACCGGTTCAAACCAAGAGGACTGGGATTCGAACTCGTGAACTTGTGGTTACAAGTTTGTATTCTTAACCATTTTGATTGGGTTCTTGGTTGTGTAGCTAAAGCGTTAACAGTGAAGATAAACTATTTCAATACAAGAATCAGACATACCAAAACATTTGAGGTGAACTGGGATGTATTTTCATCAGCTTTCAGGTTTTTGGAACATCTTCCCCTGAGTATACTTTCAGGGGTTTCGCCTCCCAAGACCTCCTGGGCATCTGCAAATGTAGCTGCAGTCTGCTCGCTTAGTTGCTTCATTAACCCAATAGCGTCATAGCTTCTGTCACCTGGGCTGAAAAGGAAACCAAAATCCTGCAAAATGGAAAACCTTAGTCTCATTTAAGGGTATAATCACAGACAGTTCAGAAGGTAAATATTGCATGTCAGCATACCTCCAATGTGATTTCTGTGTCGACTCTCGGGCTGGACAGAAAAGAATTGATGAACCAGGGAGATTTCCACGCTGATGGAGATTCCATGCTTCTTCTGAAAGGAGTCTCCCCAAATCTATAAACAACAACATCATGTGAGCCAACCATAAGAAACAATCATATGGAGAACTAAGATGCTGCTGTGGACCAGCTAAGCACCAAAGTGTGGACAACATCATGGGAGCATATGAGCAAAATAATAGATTAGAAAGTAGAATAGCATGAATCTTCATCTTACATGCTTATGTTATTGTCAAGACCAACTCCATTTCCAGAACCTTCACCTGCATTCTCTGATGCAGGAACAGATTGTACAGATGTTGCTACAACTAAGTTATTTCCCTCTTTTATTGCACATATACGAGGAGAGCAAACAGATAAACACGGGGCCTCAGATGAAGATGAAACAGTCCCTTGGTTCGGTGCTGTTTCCAATCTGTTCAAACATGAGTTTCCAAGAGCTTTAGTTGTTTGAGTCACTGCTCTATCACTCTTAGATCCGAAACGATCAGGAGAAAAGAACAAGGGGTCATCTTTTCCACGTTCAACTAGAACACCAACTGTCCGTTTCACCTGATGAAAAGAAATAAGGTAAATTAAATAAATAAGTGAATATTTAACATACCAATTACTGTATAGTGTATACAAAGAATTTATATTATGAGCATAAGATAAATCATCAAAAAAAATCCTTGACCATTTCAATTTTGATACTTGAAAAATGCTTTCTTCCTAGAGTTTTTGAAAATGAGTGAGAAGCCTATAAGCCAGGAAACTACCTCATTCCACTTCTAGAGGACATAATTGAATGAAAATATTTGCATCTTCAAGCATTCACTTGTATTTCATGAAAAGAATGAAAAGAAATTGAAAATGAACTCACATGTATGGCGTCATCTGCACCACCTTTATTACTCTCTCTCCCCAAATCTCTTCTTCCTGAAAACCGTGTACCTTCCATGCCTTCCTTTGTGGTGCCTTCAAATTCAGGATTAAGATTTTCTTTGTCTTCAATGGATGCTTCAGATATAAATTCTTGGTTTGGCAATGGAGATGACCTTGTTGCTTTCTCATTTCCAGCATCATCAACTATGACCTCCAATCGAGAGAAGTTCCTTGCCAAATCAGAGAACTCGTGCTTGTTATCACTTTCAAGCTTCTTTTCACTTCTCTTTTCTGACAAAGGTGAGACCAAATCACGATGCCGTTTCTTCAATATAGAAGGTGTACAAGTGAAAGTTTTGGCAGCACTTTTCAGGACAGCATCTGGACTACTGTCTCTAGATGGCGAATCCCACAATCTAAATGGAGTAAGACAGTTCATAGAAGACATCATCAACTGGCGGATACCAAGGGGACTGTACTCTTGCTGCATATCTGTACCAGATTGTATAAGATCACAGCTAAAGAATGGAACATCCAAGCTTGGAAATCGAGGAGGTTCATAGCACAATGTTCCTGGATCCCTTTTTTCATCTTTCACAATGTTTTGTTCATTGACAGAACATGTTTGAACACTATCTGGTTGAACTGGCCCAAAATCATTCACAGGCACTAGTTTAACAGATTCATTTTCCTGAATGTACTGATCAATTTGGTCTTTCAGGCCTAGACCATCCATTCTGTTACAAGTAGAAACTCCTTGACCATCCATTCCATTACCACAAGTAGAACTACCAGGCTCACTTGCGTATACAAAATCACCACATGTAATGATCTCCTGCCTTGGATTTTCAATGGGATTAATGAGTTGGTCTGAATCAACACCAAACATAATGGGAACAGAAAAGGCTTGATAGGAGGAAGGCCCAGAATTGTCTGAACTTATAGCATTGCAAGATTGAGGAGCCAACATGCCAGCTTCAGGGATCTGATAGTTTGATGGTTGCAAAATCACTGAATCTGCAGATTCCTCAACACCCCTAATACCATTGCCGGAGGGAAAGCATTGGTGATTTTCTGGTCCAGTGTATATAATCCCACAATGGCCATCCTCCAAGTTAAACATATCATCCTGATTACCTGAACCCACAGCTATACTTCCCATGTGACTAATAGTACCCAAATCCATAGCAGTTTGCAGTGGGGGGACTCCATGACTGTCACAGCTATTTAAAAATTGCATGAAGAATCCTGCTTGAACCTGCATCAAATCCAGAGCAGACATATTGGGTATATCATCTGGATTGAGGTGGCCATCTCTTGTTATGGAAGCTCCAATTTCATGCGCAATAGTTTGCTCAATGAATTGGGATGTATCATTCAAATCATTAGGTATTTCTGGCATAGAACAAGCAACTTCGTGAAATGTATTAAAATTTTTGGAACAAGTTGCTGAACTGAGGCTTGGATCCTTCTCATGACTTGATTCATCCTTTACACCCCTCTCTTCTCTTGTATGTACAAATGTGTTGCCCATATCACTTGTAGATTGAGAACAGCCAACCAGAGCTGAACCTTGACTGCATTCTGAAACTTCATCCACTTCCTTTCCCTCTCTGCAAACACTTCTATCTTCACTGCTTTGCTGGAACTTTGAAGAAGTGGTAGGCAATATCTGGTTGGAACTGTTGATATTAGGTAAAGCTGGGAATTGTGAAAGCAAACCTGATGCCAAATATGAATCCAATTTCTTTTTCACTGAGCTATTCCAGTGATTTTTAATTGCATTGTCTGTCCTGAAAATAAATAAACACAAAAAGATCAAAATAAAGCAACCACAAAAGAAAACATCAATAGTGGAAAGTAAGATCTCTCCTCAACTTATGTACTAGTATACTACCTTCCAGGCAAAAACTTCGTCAACTCTGCCCATTTGTTTCCATAAATTTGATGAGCACGAATGAGAGCTAATTCCTCTTCTTGTGTCCAAGCTTCTTTGTTTATTGAAGGATTAAGATGGTTGTGCCACCTTCAAAAAAAAAAAAAAAAGGAATAAGTGTCCAAACATAATTTACTTCTATCAGATTATTCAACTCAACTGCCAATGGCCACACCAGAACTCAAAAATGTAATGATGTGTATTATCTATTTGCATATACATTATGCTCTAAAAATTAAAAATTATTCTTGACCAACCAAAACAAAAAGTTTAATGCCTTTGAAAACAGATATATACTTCAAAGGAACAAGAGTCAATTTCTATCCATGGGCATTAGTTTAACAATATGAGAGAACTCTGGGAATCACCAATCAGATAGAAAAACAGTTCTGTAAAGTTTACCTTTCACGACATTGCTTTCCTATCCGCCCCGGTAAATGTTGTGCAATGGTGGACCACTTCTTTGGGCCATATTTGTTAACTAATTCAATTATTATTTCATCCTCCTGAATATGTAAAAACTTGACTAGCTTAGTAATGACCATACAAAAAAAAGTTCAGAATGCCAATGCCCAAATGTGAAATATTAAATAGGTTACAAATTCCAGGGGAGCTATGGATAGAACATGACCTCTTTAGACCAGGGACCTTTGACAAGTTCTGGGTTGAGAACTTTCTGCCACCTGTGTAAACACTGCACATCTGTTCTGTCTTTGAAACATTCCGCTGCATCAAGGATATTGAACAATTTACTATCTCTTCTCAGTCCAAAATATCAATTAATATTGTAGATCTAAGAGTTTTAATATATAAATCTAGTTAAAAGTAAATTAGCCATATGCTGCCATACTTTGGTTAGGTGTCCCAGATACTTTCCCCGCTATTGTAATGAAGCAACAAGTCTTACTGTGGTTAGTAACTTAGTATGGAATTGGATAAATTAGTGCCCATAAAGGCCTAGAATCAATTAGCTTCACATATTGAGTCTAACTAAATGCATACTGATATAAGCTCAAAATAATCACCCATATTATGATTCTGATCGAAGAAATTTCAGGCAGTGAAATTTATGTCAATATACCATTTAAAATGCTAGCTAACTAAAAAATAAAACAAAAGCAACCATTACTGCACAAATCCTGCAGCATCCGTCAAAGTCATTTTAATGATTATTGAGAGGACACACATCTCATTTTACTTAGGTACAAATTTATGAGTACCTAAAAATAAAATGTTGGCAATGAAAAGATCCTAGCATCATGTATTGTATCCTATTATATTAAAGGTAGACTTGGTGTCATATCATAAATTACTACAGTGGATCATAGGAACAATGATACATGGGTAAAGTAAAGTCTCCCAAAATGAGGCATCAGTTAGTTAACACTAAAGCTTAAGCTTAGTGAAAGTTAATCATGATGTTATGGATTACAGCTACACTCACCATACAGAGCTGCCCAAAAACACAAGCTACAAAAGAAAACAATTTCACACCATCCACTTAGCAATGAACACTCCTGCCATTTATGTAGGCTTCGTGGCAGTGGTAGGCTTAACAGAGAGGTAAAGACAAAGAATATTATCAATATGCAAGTGAAGGGAATACCTATCTTTTTCCAGTTTTTTCCTTTAAATCGTTGAACAGCCTTGCGCAAAATTTCATCCTGTAACAATAAGAAATTTATGTTAGCAGAAATACATAAACTTCTATATAATAAAATATGGTATGGAGTACTACACAATGACAGGAAACATAATCAGTAAGCCTGCATACTGAATTAGGGCAACCTTTGTGTCATAAACATGTGAAAATCACATACTGGAAAAAAAGTACTGTACTCTCACATACATGGACCATAATCACCAACAGATCTTAAGAATGCCTCATCTCCAAAATCACTTATCTCATTATTAAACAGAGTGATTTCTCCTTAGAAAGAAAGAATATTATACACATTCTAGAGCTTTTTAGGGTATACTTTTGCAGGGAAGAGTGGATTCTGGATGTGGACCATAAGGTCCACATCGACCAATAGGTACAACTCTTTTCAAATAAAAAGTGAAACACAAATTAGGATTAACGATGACATATTGCAAACATATGCTTTCATGTTATCAAAAAAATAAAGCAATGGAAAAGATCGATTTCTGAATTCTGTAGTTTAGATGGCAAAAATTGATGCTGTATCAAGTAACCCCACTGAAAAGCAGTAATGAAACTGCAAGCGGTGCTCTCTTACAATTGTTGAGTATTTATAGTAGCAGTAATGAGACAGCTTAATGTTCTCACTTTACAAGCATAATTATACCCAATAACAGACCCCTCCCCAAATATAGTAACAGCAATATAAAACACAGTAATAAACACTTTGAAGCATATGCACCTTATCTGAAGCACAAGCACCTTATCTGAAGCACATGCCTACTTCATTGGTTTTATAAAAAAAATGCAATCTTATACCATTCTTTATATTTCTATAAAATTTTGATAAAATGAATCCATACCTCTTCAGGTGTCCATTGACCCTTTGTTGAACGTCTTGTAGGCCCACTTGTTCTCCTATAAACATTATCAAAATGTCATGGACTAATGGTATCACAGTAGTGAAAAATGCTACAGGTTAGTTATCTAATTTGAAGCAAAAATTCATAGCAGTGACAAAAGGAGAGGATAATTTTCTGGAAATACATTGAAAAGATTGATGGGTGAGGAAACTTTCATCAGTTCAATACTTCAATAAAGCTCAAGGATGGATGAAGAAAGTGGTAGAAAAGTTGAACTTTAAGAAAAATCTTGACAATTTTATACAATAACACAATTAACAAGCAATGGAATCACATTCAAAGAAAAGAAAAATAAAAAAAAAAAAAACAAAACTACTGACATTTCAATAAAAAATGAAAACAGCATAACTATTGATGAAGAGCATAACTATTGATACTGGCATACTGCAATGCAAAATAAAGCTCTATATGGATTTCAAATTGCACTTTAAATTAATAAAACAGATTAAGGGCATTGAGCCCTCACAAAGGGTAGATAGCCTATGTAGAAAGTAATGCCCTAATGGATTAAGAGTGGATAACCTATGCAGAATGTAATATCAGAAATCCAGATGATGAAACCTAAAACAAAAATTTTAAAAATAAAAAATCAATCTTCTATTTACTTCACAAAATTACCCGTGCAGATGTCGAACTCTTTGTAAACTATTGCTGACGCCATCTGTAGGTGTGGCGCTCGTTCTATCACTTTCCATGGTTGTTAGACGAAAAGGAAAATCTGCATACTCCAATACCCACAAATTGGCAATACTCTATAGAATTTCTTCCCCAATGCATTATAAGCATGTCTATAATCCGAGAACAGATACCTGCGGGGCCGATTGGATCAGTTCAGCAACACCGTATACAACTATTAGCGAGGAAAATTGAAGTAATTTCTCGGGAAATAATGAAACAAATGACCAGCTGAACTACGGAAGAGCAAATTAAACTCCAACTAAACACGAAAACAGCAAATTTGCCCCAAAATTCACCCAAAAAAATAAATAAAACTAGAAAAAGAAATGTAATTACTCACCGAAGGGAGCGCGGTCGCAATCATCAGCATCGGATAGGGGAAAATGGCCGAAGGCCAAAGAGAACCGGCGCTCTCTCACACAGATCCCGTCAGCAATCTAAAACCAGAGAGAAGAGATCTGCGAATGTAGAGAGAGAAAATGCGTGCAGAGAGAGAGAGAGTGAAGAAAATAATGTTAAAGGGGAACGGTTCGACAATTTCAAATGTAAAAGAGCGGACATGGGAATTCAAACCCTATGCTTTAAAGGTCGGACATCTTCGGATGAATCCTACGGCTAGTGTTGCGGTCCACGTTGGAATCTCAGCCGTCCACTCCCTTTTCATTTTATGTTTTTTCCAGTAACGTTTTTTTCTTTTTTTCTTTTCAAATTTTTCAGTCTAACGGCAAGTTTTTTAGCTCACCTGCTACTTGTTTCGGCCGTCGGCAATAGCATAATTTCGGTAGGAGTCGTGGTATCTTATATTTATCACTCAAACATGAACAATAATTCTACTAGATATTAATACATATTTTTTACTCACTAATCATTGATTATAGGAAATGGTTAGCATTTTTTGTTTCTTACCAAAGGTAGTGTATCCTACTGAGATTATAATATCTAGCTAAATTATCTCGATAGATTGCCATGATTAAATATCATTTATTCACTTATCTGTCATTTTGAAAGAGTCAAGACCTTTTTAATTCAAATTATTAAGAATAAGACTAATCAACGGTTATAACACACATCAGTCCAAGGAATAGGGTAAAGCACACAAGATTGTGGGTATCCGGGCTGAATTGTAAAATCATATTCATGCAATGTCAAATCACCCCCTCTCCCCTATTTGGTTATTGTTAGAGTACAAAATATGTATTGTGTATAAATAGTAGAATTTCACATTCCCTAACCAAGTAATTTATCTCAATAGTATTAAAACTTTATCAAATCTTGTACACAGTTACACACTTGAACATAGTATTGTCAAAAACAAAAAAAAAAAAAAAAAAAAAAAAAAAAAAAAAAAAAAAAACTCTCCCTCCTTGTGTAGGGTTTCTCCATCTTGTCCTCGTTGACAAGTTTGCTTCCCCCGTTCCTTTGTTTGTTTTTTATCTCGTCTGCCTTTCTCTACTTTTATGATGGCCATTAATGGTGGTTTTTTAATGGTTTACATCTACCCCTATGTTGTCCTATGATTCTCATTTCACCCATAGTCTTTAATGACGGCTTTTAATGGCGTCTCACCTACCTCTGGGCTGTCTCATGATTCTCATACCACTCGTAAACATCACCCACATAATATTATTATCTCTTCACATCGACAATGACTCAGTACGATACTTTGCATTTTCACACAAAAAAGTTGATACTTTGTACCCTTGTACCTGCGATGGCTTCGTCCAGCAATGAACAATGCTCATGGAGATGGATTACGTTGTTCTTTCCATCTATGACCCTAAAGAGACGGGGTTTCAGGTTGACGAAGAGAATGAGGAGGATATCACGATCGACACCCCGTTTATGCTTGCCGAGAAGCTTGTCACTGAGAAGCCCGTCAAGGTCAACTTGCCGAGGTAACCCATGTCCTACAAAATCTATTTTTCACTTGCTATTGATGATTTCTTGACATTCTTGATGCTATTGAGTGGTTTTGTGCATATTCTTGTGATTATGCCATGTTAGAGCATGTATTTAGGGTTCTTTGATGCTATTCTTTGAGCTATTCTATGTGTTCAAGTTCCTTTGTTGATGGGTATGAGTTTTGAGGTGTTTTGGACTTGAACTTGAGCATTTCGACAATTTTCCCGAAGTGGTTTTTCTCTCTCAGGTTCGGTACCCGCGGGTAGACCGGCGGGCAGTGTGCCACCCGCTGGTAGAAGGGTGAAGGTGGCGGGGGGGTCCACGGGTGGTAAACCACCCGTAGTACCACCCGTTGGTACAATGACGGGTAGTGTAGCAGGTGGTCTGCCACCCACCGTACCGCCCACTGGTACATTGTATTTTGGCCTCCATTTTGTTGACCCGTTGTGAACTTGTGTGTCTTGATTGATGTTTCGTAAGTCTAGAACGATGTCTTAAGTACCCGTGGTAGGACTTGTGAGTCTTGAATCGTGTTTATGATCCAACTTTGTGATTCGTTGGATTGATGTGAAGTTTATGATGTTCGTATGAGCTTTATGATTATCTTGATTGAATTGCATGCTAGCTACGTTGTTCGTTGGTACGAGTATGTGCTTTCCTCGTATTGATCTTGCCTAATCTTGATGAGGATTGGTGACTTGTGTTACCAATCGTTGTGGTCCTTTGATTTGGAAGCCTTTCGTTATTGTGGCATTACCTTGGAATGTTTCCTTCGTATCATTTCTTGAGTTCTTCAATTGAATCTATCTTTGTGAACTCGTACAAATGTTGTACCTTACCATGATTGTTCTTTGATTAGGCTATGAATGAGCCTTGATTATCTATGTCAATGATTATGTGACTATGTGTATAAAAGTTGGCGGTAATGAGCTTTGCTCAAATGATTGGCAGTAAATGATCATATTATGAATGAAAAAAGCTGGCGGCAAGCAGGCGGTAAAGCAGGTGGGAGCATAGTCTCCGGAGGAATAAGGTTGGACTGGTGTACAAGGTGGCCTGGAGGTACATGTAACACCCCACTTTTCTAACTCTTAATTACATCTCTAAACAGTCATTAACATAAACTATGCAGCGGAAAACTAGAAGATAAGTAGTGGGAGTGTCACCGCCACAATCACCATTCTTTGGTGATTGCACAGGTTAAAAGGGGTAAAACTACAAATAAGATTAAGTATGGGTACTAGAAATAAATACTGGAAAAGTAAGGGGAAAAACGTCACCCCAACACAGTCTACATCAATCCTCAAACATAAAGTCATCAGTCTAAATCCATAACATGATCATAAATAAAACGAGAGTTTAGACATCTCAAACTACGGGACTAATCTAACTCGATCTCTTCTCACTGCTGGGCCCACCTGAAAGGGGTTTTGCAAGCAACACATAGACAAACAGGAAAAACACTCGTTAGCACGAAGCTAATAAGTACACATTCAACCCTGTAAAGAATTCTAGCATATACTTTGAAAACAATTGATATCTTTATAGCAATAAGCTAATCTCAACTCATCTTAAGAATTACCACATTCTTTCTAAATGCTTGCACCCTATAATATCAGCTGGCATGCTTATATATGTATAAGACTGATCACGTATATTCATCAACATATAGACTTCTCAAATAGCTTATCAAGCAATTTATGCTTACAGATAGGATCATGTTAAAAGACTATACCACAGGTATTTACATGCTTTCACATTCTTACCACCTAACTTGATAAGTAGAGCTTCTAATACAACATGATAATCATGCTCAAAGGAATATCTTAAGTCAAACTTCTCGTTATGCAATCTCTGACGATGCTCCATTCGCATGCAATCACGTATAACATTGTGATCATACATCTTATGCAATCTAATGCAATAATATATTCATACTCATGTGCAATCTCGTGCAATTATATAATCATACTCTTATGCAATCTAGTGCAACAATATAATCATTCTCTTATGCAATCTAGTGTAACAATATAATCATACTCTTATGCAATCTAGTGCAACAGTGTAATCATACTCTTATGCAATCTCGTGCAACAATATAATCATACTCTTATGCAATCTCGTGCAACAATCTAATCATACTCTTATGCAATCTAGTGCAATAATATAATCATACTCATATGCAATCTAGTTCAATAATATAATCATACACTCATTTATAAATTAGAGTACTTTCTGTGGAGGTCTCTTTGTTACTTTCTCGAGTCTCTCTTAACTCTCTTTCTTTCTCTCGAGTCTTTATTGACTCTCATACTTGAGTCTCTATTGACTCTCTTTCTTGATCGAGTCTCTGTTGACTCTCTTTCTTTCTCTTATGCTCGTAGACATCTTAGGGTTTCACAAAAGTGTGACTTACCCCATCGGGAACGGCATAATTCCGACCCAATATCTCCTACCGTCTACGGAACCAATCTCGTGGTTCAAACTCTGTGAAATCAGGTATCGAACTATTAGTGTGCACACCCCCTAACCAGGATTCCAAGCCTGGCGGGAAGTTTCCAACCTCGTAACGTGGGAATACGCCGCGTTACATAAACTGGGATCGCAATGTCCATAAATATCTCCCGAGAGGAACACAGTCCAAACGGTATCCTCCAAAACCTCACTGATATAGATAATACATAAATATATCGCTCATGCATCAATCTCATGGATGCAACAATTCTATTACTTCTCAATGCATCAAAGAATGATATACCACATGCTTATGGTTTTTGAAAGTATTCTTGGACTCACGTTGGCCCCTTATGCATTTTTGAAATATGACTCATGTGAAATGTCAAAATGCTCTATAACATGCTTCTAAATCATGTATAAACCAACATGAAGTATTCAAGAATATAACATCATGCTCGGTTTGCAACATAGCAATTTCTATACATTTCACTCAACAAATATGCTTCTATTCTCATTGATCAAATAATACAATTTAATCATACTTTCATAATAAATCATATTCTCAAAGGATCATGCTTCTTTACTCAATAAAATATCATCAGATCACAATAATCAAATAATTCTTCATACACAGTAAACTAGCATTATTCACTGTGTAGCAATTCTTCACAAAATCCTTCTTAACATACTTGTTTTTAATCCAAATTCAACGAAATCAAAGCCAAAACGTGCGTCAAGACAATCCTGAAGAGCTGAGCCACAAGGGCCCATAACACTCGGTCTGAAACGACACGTAGTTGAGCCACAAGGGCCCGACCACTGCACAAAAATCCTTCACAGACAATACTCAGGGACCTGGGGCGGGACTCTTCATGGTCCGCCCCTGGAGCCCCGTTGAAGCGCCGGGATTAGGCCACGGCCCTCCTCTAGGGCCGTGCCCTAGTCCTGTGCTACCACAGCTGTAGCCGGCGGCCCTTCTGATGGGCCGCGGCTAGGGTCGCCACTCTGATCTGGTGCACACTGTGTTGTGCACCAGATGGCATTTCTCCTGCAAAATCTCATCCAAACAAGTCCAAAACAATCTCAACAACTCACAAACACATGCCAAATCACTTCTAAGCATAAACACATCAAAAGCTCATAGTTTCTACTCATTTCTACT